TCAGATGTTTGGTTTTTTTTTTTTTTTTTTTTAATAACCTATTAACTTCATTGCTTTACCTTCTTGTAATGTTAATTTCTCAATTTGTCCCTGGTGCTGTCTTTGTGCAATGTACTCTTTGAAGTTCAAGGTTTTACATAGCAAAAATGTCAGAACTACATAAGTTTAAGTGACAGCTTAGCTCTTTCCAAGCTGTTTAAGGAATGTTTTCATTTTGATGCTTTTCTTTTGAATATATTGTCTCTCCTAGGGCCACTAAATGTGTGTTTAACGAGGCACTGTCTAATTATGGTGTAATTTTGTATATAAGATTAATTCAGGAGTGAATGTAGATGTTTTGTTGAAAATATTTTCTAATTTCTTTTTTTGGGGGGGTTGTTATAGAAGGCAAAAGATAGATTTTAACACATTGTGGTTGATATGTTGATATGTCCTGTGGGTAGAACATGAGGGCCCTGGGGTTCAAAGATCAGACATCAGGGAGGCCTGACTCCTGTGTAGTGCTTGACTAGGAATGTGATGCTTGATAAATCATAGAAGTTTTAGTCATGTAAGGTGCAGAGAGTATACTGGTGGTGCTGAACTTTCTCAAATCCAATCGAAGTGAACACCATACAGCAAATCTCCTTTGTTTTTCTGTGTAAAAGAGCAATAATGTGCTTTCACATCTTCATGTAACACTTGAGTTTCACAGACAAAAAGGTGTGTGTGTGCACAACCTCTGACAAAACACTGCTCCTGTATAGGTCAGTTTGGGTATTCAGTGCAATTCATGGGGGCGGTTTTCTTCTTTCATTTAAAAGTGGAACTTTTCCTAGTACAGGAAAACCCCTTTGGGGCGTTTTGTATTCGAGAATGTCCCATCAGTTGCAGCACCAGCATTGTTTTTGTGAAACCCTGGTTCTTGGCGCTTGACCTGCTCAGAGAAGCAACATCCCAAATGCCACCTCACCTTCAGGCAGCATCAGTCTCCTTTGTTAAAGTGTCTCCACTACATGAGAAAGGAACATAGTTGCTGTGGGGTTTGAAGCAATGCTTCCTGCTTGCTTTGTCCTACCTGGAGAGCCCCCTTGCACAGTGGAGTGTAGGAGGACCTTGCATAAGTTTTGGGGAAATGATCTGTAGGCAGGGTGCTCGCTCGTCTTCATCTTCTGGATAGTAGAGAAGAAAATGAGTCTCCATGCATATTCATGTAGTTCATGCTAATTAAAAAGTTGCTAGATCAACAGGTCAGGAGAGATCTCTATCCACTGAGTCACAACACAGATATACCTCGGAGGCCGGTAACTAAAGTTTCCCCAATGATATTTTTCAAACTGAAGTCACAAATTTTGTGTAGAGGTAAACAGGTAGCTTTGCCTTCTGCACCATTTAACTTTTGGTTTAGAATACTGATAAAAGGGTTATCTGCCAGGGTGGCTGCAGATCAGGGGGGGAGGGGAGTCATCTACTTACCCATTTCACAGGGGTCACAAAACACGTGTGATGTGACTACCACTCCACGTCATTCCCAACCCAGGCACGTTTTCAGCTGCTGACTTAGAAGGCAAAGCCCCCTCACCCTGCCCAGCCCCATTACCAGGGCCCTAACCTCCCAGTCTCCCCAATACAACCTGACAGACCTGCCCAGCCCGGCTCAGCCGTGGGGAGGTTTGTTTCCTCTGAGCTGAGAGGAAAGTCATATCAACAGCAGCGTGCCTTTTCTGATTCTGCTCCGCTGCACGCTGCGCCTCACTGACTCATACAGCTCCTTCCAGGCACTTCCTCGAGTTTTAACGTAGGACGATTTCATAAGGTAGAGTGAGTGACTTTAATGTCGATATTTCGGTTTTGAATGGAGTGGATGTAAGTGTTGTTTGGGCTTACATGATTAAGTGAGATCCTGGTTGCTGGAAGAATAAACACACAGGAAAAGCTCCACTCTATAAGATGCAGTATTGATTGCTACATTGAGCCATAATGTCAAGTAAGTGCTTCTCTTCCTCCTTGCTTCCCACAAATGCTAAATAATAGACCTTGTTTACTGGACTTTACAAATTATTATGTCTTTGTGAGTGATGCAATGGCAGTGCCCCCACACTCTCATTTAATCTGTAATATCATTTGGGGGTTTTTACCCTACATTTCTAATGGAATTTTTAAATAACTGTATTTCTTGCCCCCCGGACAGATCAGCTCTAATTTTATAATGAGAATTTCAGCGATAGATTATTTTTAAAAAGAATCTAGGCCATATACATTATGTAAGGTTGCCATAGTAACAGTTTCTCTGAGGGGAAAACCGACTGTCCGTAGTTTCCACAGAAACCACTCCCCGCTGAGACAGGTGCCTCCAAGGGAAGTGAAGGGAATATAAATGAGAGAGAGGAGAGAGAAAAAGACGTGCACACAGATGTCATATGATCCCTGTGGCATCCCCACACTGTTGCAAATACAACTGAACATTTTTGCGTTCATTTTTAGTTCGTTGTTTTTGATTGCATGACTGGCACCTTCTCTTTTCCTGTAAACTCTGCCCACCCTTCCCTCACATGGAACTGGTTTTGCAGCTGGAAGCACGGCAATGCTCCGCACTTGGCAGTGAACTGACCGCATCAGATACTAAAATCCAGTGCTCTAGGAACCACTGCGTGTGGCAGAATTTAAATGGTAAATGAGAATTTTCTCCCTTTTTTATTCACTTTTTTTTCCTGAAAGAAGTCAGCAAAAACAGACAGGTATGGAAATTTTTCCTTCCAGAGAGGAACTGGAGAGGAGTGAAGCTCGACTAATTTGTTAATTAATGGTTTTATTCTTTTGGGGTACAAGCTTGCACTGCTAGGAAAAATGGATGCTGAAAGATCAGGATGTAGCAAAAGGTATTAACTCAAGTCTGAGGATTTGTTAACTGAGGAAAAAAAGAGAAATTTCTTTAATGTACTTTAGTGTCATTGAGGCAAGTATGGGCTAACATTTGTGAAATATTTTTCCACATCTTTTCACAAATAGCGTTGATTTGTTTTATTTTTTTCTTCAAGGGCAATAAAACCGTGACATTAATTCAAGGCTTAGTGCAGCCATAACTACAGATTAACGTGCTGGCTACTTCATCTTCATCCTGTCATCTCTCTGCTGCTTTATGGGGAAAGCAGGCTGACATGGTTATTAAATCTGGCAGCTGTGTTGTATGCACATGGGAAGCAAGTAGAGCACAGCATATAGAAAATGAGTAGCTTTCAGATAACAGCCTTCTTTTCACTGCTGCGAGGCTTGAAAGGCAGCCTAAAAAGCTCTTTCTCTTCTTTGTAATCACCAGTCGCTGGATCAGTGGGCAAATATCACAAATACAGTTGCAAATGTAAGTATTCTTTGCCTGTGTGCTGCTTTCAGATTGCTAATTAGGGTTTCTACCTCAGTGTTCTGCCTGAAAAGGCAGAGAGATGAAAGCTCAAAACATCCTGACAGGGAAGGTTTCTCTGCAGTGTTGTTCTGGCTTTCAGTGGAAGAGCTACTGAGGGAAAGGGATGCATGAAAGCGTTCTGGAACAAATAGTTTGCAGTTGTGTTTGTTGATTTTTGGGATGTCTGCTTTCCACTTTATAAGGGGAGAAGCCAAGCAAATGCAGGAGGGACTTTTAGAGAGATGGTTTTCTGCTTAGATTATATAACATTGGACGTACAGCGAGGAAGATACTTGAGCAGTAATAGACAGCTTGTGAACGCACAGGAGAGAATTCTGCCGTGGTATTTTTCACCTGGAATCTTTTCTTTAAAAATCCGTAAATGCAGACCTGGACTTCTCATTAAGAAACTTGACAGTACCTTATTATTAGAAGCGCAAACAAATAGTCATCATCATAAGGGGCACCAGTAAGTCTGCATCTGACCTGATAAGAACAATGAACATAACACGGTGAGCAATGCATGTTTTTCACCAATCTCACTCTGTCTGTACATGAAGACGATCTTTATCTGCTATGTGGCGTGAAAGAGGATAGTAAGGTGGTTGGGAAGCAGTGGAGTTGAAGGTTTCTCAGTGTTGCGGTGATACTGTAAAGAAGGGAATTGGTATTTGTTAGTGATTTTTGGTCTCATAGCACTGAAGAAACAGCATCTTGGTTTTTAGCCTTCTTTCTAATTCAAAGCTTCTGTAGTGCCGTTGTCCTATTGAGTTTACAGCTAGTGAATTCTTATTGTGGTGTGAATGAAATCTGTTTATTGAAAACAGCCTGTGATCAGTACCGAGTATAAATGTCAGCTAATTGCACAAGAAATGCGGGCTGAGCTGGCTTGTTTGTTGCCACATCACATTTCTTGCTTTATTTACAGGTTTTGTTATTTCTTAGGGGCTGTTGTGGTAGCGTAAGCTTCTTATGAGCCATGTGAAAAATGTCATTTTCGCAGTTAACAGGTGACTGCCATTAAGTGACTAAGAATAGAGTATATATGTTGTGTTGTTTGCTGCACGTAGAGGGTTAAACATATTCATGGTATAACCCCCTTGATAATGCTGCTATACCACAGGTCAGTGTGGTCAATGTGGTGTTTATAAGGTGCTTTTGCAATACTTCAGCCCCATCTCACAATTGTATACATAGAAATGCCTGTTTTCATTGTAGCGAGTGAAAGGTGATTTTTGGAGTTACTCTTTCCTTCCTCATGTCTCCTTTTTCCCTCATATACAGTCAGAAAATCATAGCTTCCCTGAAATCTAGCTGTGAAAATGGTCATTTTTGATGACAGCTGTGGAGCTAAGCTTCCCAAGCCTGAGTGGCAGCCAGCCAACTGCTGAGACAAGTGGTGACCTTTCAGGACAATGTCTCTCACAAAAATGTCAAAATATTAAAATGGCAGACATCAAATGCCATGTGCACAGGGAAAGGTTGTCAGCTGGCAGGCTTTCAGCTGAAGGCAGTTAATCCACTGCTTGACTGGATTAAACATTGAAAGCCCCTGCCCTAAATCTCTGAAATGTAGAGAAATTATTCATGTGTCCTGAATAATTTCAGAAGTTGTTCTGGGAAGACTTGGGACATGGATGGAAAATTTCAGAGGTGTTTTATTTAAAATCTTCTCAGGGATCTTCCTGACAGATGCCTAGAAAAGGAGCTTTTTGCCTTTTCTTTTGCACTTTGCATCATATACCAGTTTTCCCCCCAAATCTCTTATTCACAATATAAATGGATCCGGATGAAGCCCAAGCAAAATTCATTGATGCGCAGCAGGATGCTGAAATTCTGATAGTGTGTGCACTGACTTTTTAGGCTTATGCTCACTGAATATTAAACAATCCCCTGCAGTTCTTGATGCTGCAGCCCTGAGCTGAAACCTCATTTGCTATTACATGCATCAATGCTTTGTAACTTTCTTTGAAGGCATTGAGGTGTGAGCGTTCCCATGCTCACTGGTGTGTCAGCTTCTCAGATACCTTTACCCCATGGTAAACAGATCAGTGACAGTGATTGCCTGCCTTGTTGGCTTTCCCCTGCTGCATAAATATTTTTGGGAGGTGTGAAACTGCCTGATAATTACCTTGGCCTGTAGGAAGGCCAAGCAGTGTGTATGGTTGAACGGGGAACTAACCTGTTCACCTTGTGGTTGACCTCACTTGGAGAATAAGAAAGAGTGCACCAGTGACTGCACCAGACCAGTCTGGTCTGGCCAGTTTGCAACTGGCCACAATTCAAGAGAATTCTCGGTATTCTCCATGCAAAACATAGGGTGAGCTGCCAACACAGGTAACCGCTGCAAAGCAGTCAATGGCCAGATTTAATGTGTTGAGAAGGAATATAGTCCTTTCCAATATTTCTTTCCTTTTTTTTTCTTCCCTTTCAAGATGATAGTTCTGTGTCAGTCCAAGTTCTCTCTCTTACTACAGGCAAGCAACTTTTTATAACTGTGTTTTACTGTTCACTTTACTACTAGAGTGACCTGCCTACCCTGCCCTTTAAAACTGGGAACATTGCATTCCCTGACTCCCTTCTCTCTTCTGTAGTCATAGGAAACACTAAGTCTCCATGTTGGTCTTTTCTTTCCAGTCAGTATTCCGTGATCACTCCTCCTTTCTCCCAATTCCCCACAAGAAGAATTATGAAGCAAGTGAGGTAGGTAAGGACAAATTCCCATAAACACTTTACAGAAATTAATACTTTTTCCTTCCTTCCTCCTGTATTCAAATTTCTGTCTGCTTTTTCACAAACATTTGTGTGATTTGAGACTTAATACAACTTAAAAATCTGTTTGGAAGAAAAAAATTATACTCATCTAGTTGAGGAATAAAAAGGTAACTGAGGAACTGAGGTATCAATTAACATAACTTATCACAACGCAGATGCCTAGGCTGAGTTGTGGATTTTTGATCTTCAGACAACAAACCACATGTAGGCACAATCTATTTAATCATCCCTGAAAATGTTAAATATAAAATAGGGATGCTGTTATTTTCTATGGGCTTCGCATGAAGAAAAAATCTGAGGAAAATAACTGAATATATTTATCAGCAGCTGTAATTTCTTTTAAATACAATTATATAGGGCTTGGTTGTTTCCTAAGAACCTTTGCAGTGTCAGATCAGTTCATTAAACATCAGTCATTACACCTCATACTAAATTCTGACTCGCATCAAGGGCATTATTATTTGTTCTACATATTATGCTATTATTACTCTTTACTGTTTCTGTAGCATTTAGGAACACTTCTATTGGAAGGTCACTGAACTAGGTAATCCTTGGCCCCAGATTACTTATAAGCTATTTTTAAAATAAAGCAAAAAAACCTTTTCATACATTTACCACCTTTCTTGTTTGGCTTTTTATCTGAATTTGGAATACAGATGTCAGGAGTATGTAATAACTGAATTAGTCATAAGGATACCAGAATCTGCCTAGACATGGGCTTGAAATGGCATGTAATTAAAATAAGAAAATGACATACACTTACTGTGACCTTATTTCAGAGCTGTCTTACTGATTCGCTTGGAGTATCTCCCTTAGGCTGTTAATGTTCAGCTATTAAGTTCATGAAGTATAATTGAAATTAATTCAACTGACCAAAACATGACTATAATTACAAAATAGTTGTGAGCCACCGATGAAGATTCCCCTTAAAATCATTAAGACACTGTTTTATTATTAATGTAGGGAATTACTAAGTTAATATGGCTTATGATAAACTTAATTCCTAAGGTAATAATATGAAGTTTAATGAAGCGTGTTTACCTGCGGTTATTTACAGGATCTAAATTTCAATGTTAATTGTTGACATGAAATAACAACAGCATGACACGTGACACTCAGAAAGTAGTTGACTCATCGTGGACCATATACTATGATTCAGGGAGGTGAAAAATGAGGATCATAATGTGGGATGAGAATCTTCAACTGTATTTTCCGTAAGACCAATTTTTCCCGTATCTTTGCTCCTTACCCATCTTACAAGTAGATTTTAGGAGACATCACACATCTGCTAACATCATCTTTTCTGCTACCTTTTGTTTGAATGGTGTGGTATGAGGTATGCAGTACTTTTTATACCTGTAAACTAGGACTGAATCTGCTATCTGAAATCAGTCAGTAGAACGCTCTAGTTTACAAAGCCATATTATAATACACTGTTCTGTTCTGAATATATTTCATTTCTTCTGTTTGTACACTCCTCAGATCATCCTTCATGAGGCAAGGATATAGCATGTCAATACAAGCTATAACTTAACTGAGCAATGTAACTGACATAACCGAGCAAAACTGCATAACTATTCTTTCTGGAAATTTATACTGCACAAACCACTACGGTTTCTAAGTGCCATTTTTATTATGAGGGCATAAATGTACTTGTATATGCAGAAATAAAAAAGGATCCCAGAGGGCCAAATTGAAGTTGGAAAGATACAATACCTTAAATTTACCTTTTAAATTTCAGTTTGAAACTGTAATTTGTGATAGTATCCTTTTTGCATTGACACTGCAACTTATATAAGCATGGTGACATTAAAAACTAACAGTGGGCATTGGTGTCAGCCAAAATTTAAATATATTCTGACAGTGGCACTGTTGTCCCTTCCATAAAGCAGTTGAAAGAATCTAAACAAATGCAAGCTGCCAAACATGAAGGGCTATTGTACTCGTCAAATGTCTTTTTTTTTTTTTTTTTTTTTTTTTTACAAGGGAAATAATAAGGCTCATCTGAAGAGTATGAAGGGCCTTTTGACATCAGAAGAAGACTTTAAAACTGGATTCACAGCTTAATGTTAATATGTAATTTTCTTTAACTATAAACAGCAGGCTGAACTGGAGAAAAATCTAGTTTTGTGATAAACTGCATTTCAGTTCATAGTACTAAAATATAAAAAGGAACAATGATGAGTTTTCCATTTCTTTTCCTTCAGTTCTTGGGATGTGATTTCTGTGAACAATTGTTTAATTAGAAGACCATTTCTTTCGGGGGAAGTGTATAAGTGAAGCCCTAACCACTTATTGTTATGAACAGCATGCGGCTTTTTTTCTTTGCTAGAGCAGTATTTCTGGAGCTGATTTGTGACTGAATTCTAATATGGCAAACTGTATTCTACTGATCTAAATTTCCCTGGCACATGTTTTTTTTTTTTTTTTTTTTTTTTTTTTCATACAGGGAACAATGAATAAAACAGTCTGAAAGATTATTTGCAAACATGCAATTAATTATAAATCCAGCTTGATCTGCATGGATAAAGTAGTAGTTATCAATCTGGGTAGCTAGTACTTTGAAAGGACTTTGTAGAAGTCATTATTTCAGGAATATTAAAACAGGTACCTCTATTTTTTTAGGAGACAATAATATGATTCCCAAATGGATAAGACAGAAGGTTGAAGGCAAAATAATTTATCCCAGGAGTGGTATGGATTACTGTTAAGAACATTCTGAAATTCCGTCCTATCA